ACCCTCCGCCACGGTCTGTTTATCTCCAGACAAACCCTCCCTTTCCTATTCATAGGGGAACATGGCAAGGATGCCCTCTTTTGCCAATACTTTTTGGTTTAGCTCTGGAACCCTTGCTACACCTTATAAGAACCAACCCAGATATCAAAGGTATCACATTCGCTCACCAAACCTTTTAAAGGTAGCAGATTCGCAGATGATCTGCTTCTGACTTTGACCCAACCACACACCTTATTACCTCCCCTCTTCTCCATTCTAACCAGATTTTCCAACATTTCGGGTCTAATCGTAAACAAAGAGAAATCTTCAGCTCTTAATGTTTCCCTCCCCGTGGGGGACATTTGCTAAAACAAAACTACAACTTTACTTGGCCCCCCGTGCATCTAGAATACCTACGGATCAACCTTACAAACTCTTACTACACCCTCTATGAGGCCAACTATATCTCAACTTTCTGGGCCAATAAAAGATTTCAGGTCACTAAATATACTATGTTCACACACTGGAAATAGGGGGGGGGGCTTGGGGATCCTTAACTTCTCCTAAGTACTATATGGTGGGCAACCTTGGAAGCGTTCGCTTGCCACCCGATCTCCCTTTCTTCGCTTTTATGGCTCCACCCCCCCCCCCCCAGATCCAGGTGGTATATGGGTCTCCACAAAATACACCAGCAGCCTTATCTCCCCTCATCTACCACTCCTCCCCCTCATGAGCAATCCTGTTTGAAACCGGCATTGTAATCTCCTAGCGCATTCCATTGGTGGACCTCCCAACACCTCCAATTTATCCACTCATTTCTCATGGGTTGCTCAGCTTGCACCTGGGGAGAAATACAGAATAAATATTGAGCCCCCTCTATGGAACTTTTCCGATTTATATACAGATCAAACATTGGGTAAATTCAGTCCTTACCAATAAAGACCTGAGCATTCAATTATTGTTGTTTGAACACATCTGCCACCGGACGCCTTTCTCTCCTAAACTTCTCTATCCTGTATTCACAATTGACTAATCTACAGAACCTCAACAATCACACGTTTCCAGATGGGAAAGAGGCACTAAAGATCATGCATGTTGGTCACAGATCTAGCTAACTCTGACCTCATGCTCCATCAACGTCATCACTATGGAATCTGCTTTCAAAACGGTGACAAGGTGGTATTATGTCCCATACCATTTAGCATTTATTCATCCATTAGCCTCCAATATTTGCTTTCGAGGCTGTAACGCACCAGGACATGTTGTACACATATTGTGGACATGCCCTATGCTTTCCTGTTTTGGAGTCAGAGGTTTTCAAACTAAGTAATCATTACTTACCACTTTCTGAGAGACCCTTGGTATACTCTCTTGCACTTAAAACGTTCGGGTATGTCTAAACACCAGTTTAAACTAGCCACTCACATACTATTGGCAGCCAAACAAACCATAGCAAAATCCTGGAAACCGCAGTTTGTATCCTTTTACAGAAGTCCACCGCCGCCTTGACTTCTTAATAAACAAAAAAACTGTCTAGCATTCTCTCAGACACCCATGAGAGATCCTTAAAACTTGGACTCCATAGATTGATCCAACAGGTCCCAACCCATCCCCCCAAGATTTCAGCGAATCGCTTCACCTTACTATAGCCTCATTAAGCTTTAGAAACTGAACTTGGGTGTTATGGATGTTCACCCCCCCCTCCATCTGCCTCCACTTTCTCCTTTTTTTTTTTTTTTTCTCTTTTTTTTGATTTCAATTCTTTGGCTTTTCCATGGGGATGCCCCACGAATCACGAGGTGTCCTATACATCTCATTTTTGATAGCGTATTAACATATCTTTTAATGATATAATCCTTCTTCTACTGATGTCGGCTGTTGAGCTACAGATTGGTTAGTGCACAGAAAAGGCTACCTATCAACCGACACAAAAGTATGTCTTCTCTCTCTTCCTTTTGGACAAGTTATCTAGAACGTTACTTATTATAGTTATGTTCCATTTGTATTTGACCACTGTTGACTACTGTTCATAGTTGTGTCTGTACTAGAAAGCGGTTGAGTTTGTACCTTGTACTTAAAAATTATTAAAAAAAAACAATAAAAATGAATCGAAAGGAAAATTTAGCCATTTCAGTGGTAAGCTCATTGGTGTAAGCATGCAGGGGAGCCGGCTATTATGAGATGTTTGCTAATTTATTATCTTACAGTAAAAATATTTCATTATTTATTAGGGTATAATAAGTCTGTAATAACTGTATTATGACATTTAGCCTTTGTAAATATTGATGCAGGTATGTGGCATTGCACATAAATTTATGGGAATATGTAATACTGCCGCTGCACCACACTCGCAAAGCTGAGCCTGTGCTAATACCACCATATCAGTAGAGCCTATATGTTTTTCTCTAGGTTGCCCTGTTAAATTGTTACTTGGGTATGTGCCCATATCTTTTAGATTTGCTAAACAAAATCTTAGATCTGGTACAGCCACAGTATTGCTTTTTGGCATCTGAATTATCTTTTAAAAAGTGCTTTACCCTGAAGCATGATAACATACAATGTAGGCCACATAACTAACATTGTGGAAATCTTTTCACATTATGAACAAACTCTATAAAGCATCTTAAACCAAGCTCTTATTCACTCATTAGGGAGTTTGAAGATGACTTTCCTTATAACAGGCGCTTAAATCACAGCTCCTTTCCCCTTTCTTTTCAGTAACAACAGAAACTTGGCAACAGTCCAACATCACGTTTATGCCCTTTTCACTTGAGGTGGATTGCATTTTGATCAGCAGGGGATCCACTCAGATTTCCTGCTAATCGGAGCAGGGCAGGTAGATGACACACAAGACTCAGTTTAAGCAGAGTGGACACAGACAGAACTTGAAGAGGATGGATTTCCGACATTTTTTTTTTTAAATTTATTTATTTACAGTATCTCACAGAAGTGAGTACACCCCACACATTTTTGTAAATATTTTATTGTATCTTTTCATGTGACAACACAGAAGAATTGACACTTTGCTACAATGTAAAGTAGTGAGTGTACAGCTTACATAAGTATAAATTTTCTGTCCCCTCAAAATAACTCAACACACAGCCATTAATGTCTAAACCGCTGGCAACAAAAGTGAGTACACCCCTAAGTTAAAATGTCCAAATTGGACCCAGTTAGCCATTTTCCCTCCCCGGTGTCATGTGACTCGTTAATGTTACAAGGTCTCAGGTGTGAATAGGGAGCAGGTGTGTTAAATTTGGTATCGCTTTCACTCATACTGGTCACTGGAAGTTCAACATGGTACCTCATGGCACAGAATTCTCTGAGGATCTGAAAAAAAGAATTGTTGCTCTACATAAGATGGCCTAGGCTATAAGAAGATTGCCAAGACCCTGAATCTGAGCTGCAGCATGGTGGCCAAGACCATACAGCGGTTTAACAGAACAGGTTCCACTCAGAACAGGCCTCACCATGGTCGACCAAAGAAGTTGAGTGCATGTGCTCAGTCATATCCAGAGGTTGTCTCTGGGAAATAGACGTATGAGTGCTGGCAGCATTGCTGCAGAGGTTGAAGAAGTAGGGGTTCAGCCTGTCAGTACTCAGACCATACGCCGCACACTGCATCAAATTGGTCTGCATGGCTGTCGTCCCAGAAGGAAGCCTCTTCTAAAGATGATGCACAAGAAAGCCCGCAAACATTTTGCTGAAGACAAGCAGACCAAGGACATTGATTACTGGAACCATGTCCTGTGGTCTGATGAGACCAAGATAAGTTTATTTGGTTCAGATGGTGTCAAACGTGTGTGGCAGCAACCAGGTGTGAGGAGTACAAAGACAAGTGTGTCTTGCATGGTGGTGGGAGTGTCATGGTCTGCGGTTGCATGAGTGCTGCCGGCACTGGGGAACTACAGTTCATTGAGGGAACCATGAATGCCAACATGTACTGTGACATACTGATGCAGAGCATGATGCCCTCCCTTCGGAGACTGGGCCGCAGGGCAGTGTTCTAATATAACGACCCCAAACATACCTCCAAGACGACCACTTGCTTGCTAAATAAGTTGAGGGTAAAGGTGATGGACTGGTCAAGCATGTCTCCAGACCTAAACCCTATTGAGCATCTGTGGGGCATCCTCAAATGGAAGGTAGAGGAGTGCAAGGTCTCTAACATCCACCAGCTTTGTGATGTCATCATGGAGGCGTGGAAGAGGACTCCAGTGGCAACCTGTGAAGCTCTGGTGAACTCCATGCCCATGAGGGTTAAGGCAGTGCTGGAAAATAATGGTGGCCACACAAACTATTGACACTTTGGGCCCAATTTGGACATTTTCACTTAGGGGTGTACTCACTTTTGTTGCCAGCGGTATAGACATTACGGGCTGTGTGTGTTATTTTGAGGGGACCGCAATTTACACTGTTATACAAGCTGTACACTCACTACTTTACATTGTAGCAAAGTGTCATTTCTTCAGTGTTGTCACATGAAAAGATACAATAAAATATTTACAAAAATGTGAGGGGTGTACTCACTTCTGTGAGATACTGTATTTATTTTATAGCAGACTGGATCAGACTTGGAGGTAGGTGGGTTTAAACAGACACAAGTTTGTTTTACATCTGCCTGTCCATGGGAATGCATGGATCCAAACCCTTCCAGTTAGGTCCACCTGAGAAGCTGACAGGCGGACCTGATTGGATCGCCTGTGTGAAAGGGGCTTTAAGGAACTAACTTTAGTAGCTTTTGTGCAGCTGGAGAGGTCAGTGATGTCTAAATGCTGCTTGTTAGGTATCAAAACATTCTAATGTTCATATTCTAGGCACAGGTTCACTTTAAATCCGACTATCCTGATCTCTGAGGAGCATAATACTTTTTTAGATGTTGCAAATATCAAATAATATGGTTTCTGACCCAAAATTCAACCTTGCACCAATTATGGGTCATTAGATCTTTTATGCCTTGGTCAAGCTACTAACTACTTTCTCTTTCCTTGCAATAGTTCTTCTCGAGAATGACAGAGAGGTTTGTGTATGGTGTAGATGTTTTGGTGGACACATTATGGAGAATATGGACAGACTTGCTTGATGTTCTGGGAATTGATGGTAAGTTAGTTATTTGAAACATGCCTGTATAGCATCATAAACACTCTAGATAAGAAGAGGTGTCAAATATTACTGCAATCTTTTGTGGACTGAAAGCATACTATTACTGTTGCCTAAAAAGCAGCAAGTCATTTAGGTAAATGTACAACTGTAGAAACCATAGTTGACATAATCAAGAAAGGGTGTGTTCAAGCACTCCTTTTCTCTTTTTTTTTTTTTCCAGCCTTCCTGTAGTCCATCCATTGCGTGCGTGGAACACATTTGGGCTAATTTTTGCTGAAATAATTCAGAATCATTATACAATAAAATGTGTGAATACTCGCGATCTAGTCATATGCAGTTGAAATTTCAAATTTCAATAATTGGAGCATTCACTAAAGTTATTATATGAAGATTCTCAACTGCTTTAGTAAATAAGCTCTGTAAAGACATGAAGCCTCCAAGCATCCAGCACAATCGCATCGCACAGACGGGTCTGTGTTACTTGCTTGCAAGGTCAGAGGTTTGTTAATGTCTCATATTAGTTTTAATAATCGGCATAAAAAAAAAAACCTCCTTTTCAGGTCCCCTGTTGGCACGCCTCTTGATCAGTGCCCCCAATAGCAAGCCACTTGCTATGGGGGCACTGGTGTGTTCTTTCTCTAGAGCCCTGCTCTGTGTCCATAAGACACATAGAGCCACGGTTCGGCCCCGCCCCCTCTTTCTCTCCTCATTGGCTCAGTGGCTATGATTGACATCGGTGGGAGCCAGTGGCCCTAGCTGGCTAGAACGTTTCTTTGTTCGGAAATTTAAAAGTTGTCTATATACTGTAAAAAAACAAAAAGAGGAACTTGCTCTCCCTTCTTGCTGTGGATATGGACAGAAAGTGAAGAAATCTACTCAGTAGATCGCAGATGGCAAAAAAAAAAAAAAAAAAAATCCTTCAGTTATTCTTTAAATGTAAAAAAGTGTGCTATACATAAACTGTTTTTACATTTAAAGAATAACTGATGGGTTTTTTAGGTTTTTTTTTTTTTTTTTTTGCCATCTTTGACCTATTGAGTAGATTTCTTGCTGTCCATTCACTAAAGTTCATTCTTTTCCTGTCCTATAGCCTCAGTGTGAATGTGAGATGAAATCCCTCTGAATTCAGGGAAGTGCGTGCCTAGTTGTCACTAGAACTAGTGCCTCTATTGGAAAATGTTTCCTCTTTATTTCGTTTTCTAGTGACAACTCAATATTTGGTGTTTTTCTTTCGTTTTCACTCTCTGTAATCACTGCCACCAAGAAGAATATAGAAGGTGAATCTCCCTTATGGGCATTTTCAAAGGGTCTGAAGTGCTTGACCCTGGGTTCACACTAATGCAGTGTGGGGCACCACATGTAAATCACACAGGAATCGCACCGCATTCCTGTGTGAATTGCATGCAATGTCTGTGCGGTGCCAATGAGCCATACATTTTGTTGCCACACATCTTATTGTTTGGGTTTTTTTTTTTTTTTTGTTTTTTTTTTTTACCCACACCTGAATCGCATTGGCAGGGGTGTTGTCATTCATGCAATCGCATTGCGTTTTGTGATCTGTTTTGGGGTGTCTTTAATTAACATTGACACCCACACCAGATTGCATGAACGCCATGCAATTGCAATGCGGTGTGGGAAACACACAGGATTCACAGTTTCCCACCCTGCATTAGTGTGAACCCAGTCTAAAACTGCTGCCTATGAATTACTTGCAACAAGTAGTAGTGTCTAATAAGGTTCTCATTGATCAGTATTTTATAGGCATCCTAAAGTGGTTGAAAAGGCTGTTTTTTTTTTTTTTTTTTTTTTTTTTTTTCACATTAATACATTAAAAAACATGAGTGCAGCTGTCCCCCTAGCCCTGCCTTATACCTTCCTGAGCCTGATCTCAATCCAGTGCTGTGCATGATAGCAGTGGCTCTCTCAGCTCTCTCCCTCTTCAAAGAGTCAGAGACAGCAGCAGGAACCATTGGGTCTCGCTTCTGTCAATCACAGCCAGGGAGTACGGATGGGGGGGCAGGGCCACGCTGAGCTCTTTGTGTCTCTGGACACACAGAGCTGGTTTGCGATCAAGCCCACGCAGCAAACAGCTTGCTAGGGGGACACGTGGAAGGGAGGATAGCCTGTGGGGGACCCCAGAAGTGGAGGATTGGGTTGCTCTGTGCAAAACCATTGCACAGAGCAGGTAAATATGACCTGTTTTGTTATTTAAAAACAAGATGACAAGCTTTTAAAATACATTTGAAAAGCTTTCAGCAAGACTTAAGTGGTTTGCTTGAAAGCCTTTAACTTACCCTTCAGCTTCACAAATCTTACAGTGTTAGCCAAGGCAAAAATAAAATAAAAAAAAATGCAGTACATCTTTGCAGCACATGCACATTCCTTGTGTTTTATTTCTTTAAAGACCCTTTTAATTACAGAATAATACCTGTTGATTTGTCAGAAATGCTACTCCGATCCTAAAGTAGCATTCAACCCATAAGCACACTTATTATATTGCACCTTACCAATTCTTCGATATGATGGCTGCAATATTTTTTTTTATTTTATTTTTTTTTTTAGGCTTGCTTTCTTCTATTTTCATCTGGTGATCTAGCCCGTAAATCTGTTTTTCAACAGAACAAGCCCTCCAGCAGAATGTATCGGTTACTGAGAATAGAAAAACAATTTAACACTAGCAGGGGTGCTCACAATGTTCATTTTAAATTTATGAAAAACCCTTATCCCAAAAGAAATAGGTGTTTGGTGTAACTGCATATAAAATGTTAGCTGGAGTTTGGCTTCAATTTGTTAGTGTAGTTCAGTGTTTTTCAACCGTGGTGCCGCGGGCACATCCCAATGTAAGTACTACTGTGTTAACTCTCATTCACTGCGATTCTGGAAGAAGAGAGAGAGAACACAGCCCGCACAGATCTCTCCTCCTCCCTGCTGCTACATGTACTATTTTATCTGCAAAAAAAAAAGTGCATTTATTAGGTTTTGTAAAAGGTGAACTTATCCTTTTTGATAAACCTTTTTTGCTTTCAACCGCAAATTTATGCGTAGAGGGAACTGAGTTGCAATGGTGTTATGTTCTATAATGGTTGAAGTAAACCTACTGTACTATATGTATGTCCGTTGTTCTGTTCCTTTTACAAGTATACCTGCTATATTGTGGTTGCTCCTCCTAGGTATCTGTATTGCCGGACAACATGACAGCTGCTTATTTGCAATGATTGTTTTCATTTGTTTTGGTTCTCTTTTTTTTTTTTTTTTGGTCTGTATTGTGGGTTTGTGTGTGGGTTTTTTGATTTATTTATGTATTTATTTTTTTGTTACGTTACATTTTAACTACTACATACTAACTTATTTTATATTGTTTTTCAGCATCCAACTTTGCCCATTACTTTAGCCCAACAATGGTTGCCAGTAACCCCACCAGGGCCCTAATGCTGGTGGTGGCTGTTCTTCTGGCTTACTGGTTTGCCTCTCTGTTCCTGGGATTTTTCTTCTACATCCTGCACGTGATATTTGGACGATTCTTCTGGCTGGTTCGAGTTTCCCTTTTTGGACTGTCTTGTGTGTATATCCTGCAAAAATATGAAGGAGAACCAGAACATGCCATGTTGCCTCTATGCGTTGTTGTGGCCATCTATTTTATGACTGGACCTGTTGGCCTTTACTGGAGGAGGAACAGTAACAGCAATCTGGAAGAAAAAATTGATCACTTGGACAACCAAATAAGGTTATTGAATATCCGTCTTGGAAGGGTCATAGAAAGTCTGGATAGAGCCAGCGACCAATGATCTTCATGAATTCCTCAGCCTACACCAGCTCCGTTTTAGCACATAAACCACTCCTGTTTAGAAACTAATTCTTTGAAGCAATTTCTTGCAAAGAAATATTCGTATTGTAAACTTGATTGGCCATGTGACAACGTCAGTGCCCATATTTTTTAATAAACCTTTTTGGTTTAGCTTTAAATAAAAAAAATAAAAAAAAGTTAGTATTACAGGTTATTAGTGCTGAAAGTTTACTAAGATCTTCATAATCCTTACAGTTTGTTTTTTTTTGTTTTGACTTTAATGTAAGTCTGAAGTTGTCCTGAGGTAGCTATATTTTAACTCATTGTTTGCCACCTAAACAGGTGACATGCGTAAGGTCACTCAGACAGATAAGCCTGATCACATGAGATACACTAAGGCTTCTTTTATACGCAAATGTTTTTTGACATGTAGAAGCACATTATATAAAAACTAGGATTTTTTTTTTCTTATTTTGGTTTACTTTATCTTCAGTTTATGTGCTTTTACATGCCTATAAATTGATTAACATTAGTTTCGTGTAAATGCATGTGAATATGCAGTTTACATGCACTTTTAAGGCCTCAATCACATGGGCGATGTGGCCCATATAGCGTGAGTCTGCCATTTGTTTATGCGGCAGCCATTGTCTGCATTCTGGGACTGCTCACCTGCCCCTGCACACCTGCCAAAATTGGGACCAGTGGCTGTGTCCATTCAGACGGTGCATCCCTATTGAGTTACATAGGCCGCCTTCCCATAGTTACATAGGCTCCAGCCACATGAGCAAATGGCCATTTCACACTGTATGGGCCCCAGCACCCATCTGAATGCCTTAAACTGTTAACACATGTTCCCTTCAAAATTAACTAACCAAAAGTATTTAGTACAACACAAGTACACATGTCATATCTAGCAGCTTGAAGTTGATAAAAGATAACTGTACTTTTAGTGCGGTCATCCATTAACCATGTAAATTGCACATTACGTTTTGCTACACCGCACAATATTTCAGCTCTTTGCTGGAAATGTGTATGAGGCCTAATGTAGGGTCTCTTAAATGCTAAGGCCATCCAAAACTGAATGGTACCTGTTAGGATATAAATGTGGGACCTGTTACTGATGACTTGTTTTTTTGAAGTGTCACCCTAAGCTTGTTTGACTTCTGAGTCGCCAGCCTAGAACCAGCTTGTGTATATCACTTGTCTGACAACATGTTTTTCCCAGGTCAGCGACTCACCAAGTGCAATTTGGGTAACTTTTTGTAACTCTACAAGAATCCAAAGGTGAGATCTTAGTACCAGCAGTTTCCCCTAACTGCTGCAGGGAGTAAATAGGCAAATAGTAGTGTTGCACTTCTGCAAAAGTATTTACCATACTGAATGCTGGAATAAACAAATTTTCACATCGTCCAGCTTCAAGAGAGTGGCACCTCCTGTTATGATCAATTAGGAAGGAACAAAGACACAAATTAGCACGGTGAAATATTACATCTGAAGTCACTGCAACATATAAGAATGCAGAGGGTGATGCAGTCCATTTTATATAGCATTGATATATCAGTATTGGATGGATTTAGCATTTATTGATTTCACAAACCAGCAAATGTCTGTCACTGATTGAAATTGTTAGCCACTTTTGAATAGCTTCTTACCAAGCTAAAGTGCTGTAGATTGTTCTTGTCATCTATCTCTGCCCCTCCCTGCACACAAAATCATGAGTTAATCTACTTAAAATGCTTGTCATACCTACAAGTCACTATTATCCTCATTTGTTGCATAATCTGGAAAAAGGCGCCTGTGCTGTCCTTGGGCACAAATCATGTGAATCTGATTAGCTGCTAGAGGCAATACAAGTAGTTACATTTCACACATCAAAAAATGAAGACCTAAGTGCAAGGACCGCCATATCTTTTTTGGTGCGTGGAAGGGGGTTAGGCAAGATGCTTTTAAATATACAGCTACTGCGGTCTGCAATTATAAAAACTTTACCATAAATACTTTCTCTACAGTCTGTTCTAACTGTACTTGTTTGGAGAAAGCTTTTGCAATACAGCCAGCATAGATGAAATAGACTGAAGATAGAATTTCTTCACACATTGCCTTTTATAACAACTAATTGGGGTATGAGAAAAACCTATTTTGTACCTCTTGCATAAAACTCCTCCATTTTAGCAGTTATATAAAATTTTGCTATACTTTAATTACCAAAATTAGGCTACTTGAACCCAGCTGGGATGGGATTTCCCTAAGAAGAGTAATAAATATACAAAAACAGTGTGAATATTATGTGCATCTTTCAAAGCAGCTCACTGCCTAAAAAGTATCTTTAACCTGCTGTCAGTATCTAGATGTCAGATTTCTGTAATCTCAACAGTTTTAGATGTGCTTTTTAGATATACATGTGTTGGGTATAATATTTTTAAAATCATGAACTGTTTGCTGTTGTGTTTTTATAAATTATAATTGTTTTCCCGCTTGTGCGAAGTGCTTTCTACACAGTGCTGTGGATCTTTTGAGTGCATATTTAGTGTATGCATAAATATCCCATGTACAGATAATTCTCTGTGCTGTAGCGACTCTAGTTCTGTTGTGCCACACTTTGTAGAAATATTGTTATTTTTTTACAAAAAGATTATGCTGTGCATTTTGTTTCTTTAATATACTGTTTTAGGAAATAGTGGTGAATTGTTTAGTTTATACATTTTAAATTGGTTTAAATATTAGCAGCTGAATGTTACCAACACTTGTTGCTGCTTAAATCTTTCTCAGGGTTTGATAAGCAGCAATAAATTAGATGTATTTAATGTTTTATGTACACTAAGTTTGGAATTTCTCTTTACTTCCGTGACTACCCAAAGTATTTTTTGTAATCGTTGTGAAGGAAGATTGGAGTCCTGTTCAGAGAACACTTCTAGGGAAGAAGGTACTCTAAGGGTTAATTCCCATGGGGTTTGTGGTGGTGTGGTGTGTGTTTTTTTTTTTTTTTTTTTTTTTTTTTTTTGTTTTTTTTCTACTACTCTGTCTCTTCCTCCTCCATCATATAAAGCGTATGCATATGTATTGGTGGTATGGACTTGCCCACACAGCCAAGATTGACAGGTATGGACCTGGGTGCAAGGCTCTGTATCCAGGTCTGTGCACCTGTTCCTTGCATACCTGTCAAAGTTCCCCTTGTGGGGCCTGTATAGCCGATGTTTACCTACTCGCTTTTATATGGGTTGCCTGCACACAGGTTAGCGGTAAAAAAAAAAATAATCGGTTCTACACGTTGCTTGGGGCTGAGTGCCTGTGTGAATGAATCCTTAAAGCAAACCGTTAAACAATATATGTTGTTGGCTTGCCATTTCTTATAGACATGTAGGACTGCATAGATAACAATGGTATGCTGTATAAACTGGTGGTCCTCCTGTCTGGTAATATTTTAAATGGTTCTTTAGTTGGTGTGAGTACTTTTGTTCCCAATACTCCATCTAAAAAGTGATCACATCCTACTCTATTTTCTGCAGGAGTAATGCATGTTAAGATATTGTATTGATGGTATGGTTTAAGAAAAGCAACAATGCCACCTGCTGAATATGCTAAGACAACATTCACCTTGATCACTGCCAAGCCATAGGGGTTGATTTTACTAAAACTGGAGAGTACTAAATCTGGTGCAGCTCCTGAAATTAGAAGTTGATTGGCTACCATGCATAGCTGCACCAGATTGCGTACTCTCCAGTTTTAGTAAGTCAACCCCATACTCTTTTCTGAAGCAGCAGAAAATGTGTTCACCCATCCTCTAAAGCTTTCTGTTTTAGAGGTCTTAAAGAATACATTTGCATTTATAGAACTGTGGGTATAAAATAGGCAAGTCTTAAGCTGACTGTACATGGATTGTAATGTGGCCAGCTCATCAGGGACTGGCTGAATATCAATCCATGTATGGTCAGGTAAGTTGTACAAAAACCTATATACATATATGCAATACCCGGCAGGGCTGATCAGTGTATTCTGAGGTCAGGGAAGTCTCCCCATTGTCAAAATACAATTGCTCAGCAGGGAGCACTCCCCCCATCCACATTGAGTGTGTGGATGGGGAAAACAAACAAAGCCCTGTAGGTTCTTATTGCTTTTTTGTAACTCTTCAGAGTTTGTGTTTTTGTCACTGGCACTTTCCCCCTAGTTGACATGAGGAGGAGGAGGTGGAGTCTGGACAATATTCAATGTGACCTTAGCCTCAGCCTCCCCATAACTCAACTGAAGACTTAGGCAGGCCATACATTATACAATTTTCTTAGTCAATTTCTTTTAGATTTACCTTTTTAACTATGTAGTACAAGGATCTGCCTGGTTGCATAAGTGTTTAGCCTTCACTTCATATTATATGGTTTTGGTAAATCTAAAGGAAAATTGTATAATGCATGGCCACCAATGAGATGGTAGAGCCAGATAATTAATTCAATTGATCTAATAAACTAGCTGACTAAAACCAGGGTTTTTCAGCCTGGATTTTCCTAGCCATCTACTGCTTTCCAATTCCTTCTCTCCAAGATAGGCCTCCTAGGTATCTGAGTGTACCCTCTGTCTCCTCCATAAATCCACAGACACATTTAACTGAGTCTAATGTGTATGTCATGGAAAGATATATAGATATATATATATATATTATATTTTTTTTAAATATATATATATATATATTTTTTTTTTTTTTTTTTTTTAAATGCTTTTTTTTTCCCCTTCACAATTACGAGTTTGGTTTGTAGAGCTTTTGGAAATGTTTTAGGATAAACACTGCTTGTGATGTTGACCTAGCATTATATGTAGTTTATTTTTGCTGACTAATGCGAAGGATAAAGTCTGAAGATTACGATTACTGCTACTCCGTATGGATAAAAAGAGTTGCTTAGCAACTGCATTAGAACACTGCTGTCAATAAAAAGCCATTATGTACAGATATTAAGTAACATTTCAAGACTTTTTTAGTTGTGTAAATGGTTATATGATGCAGTTGTGCATTGA